TCTAAATTTTTTTTTTAAATCTATTTTATTGTGTTCAACTTGGTGATTGTGATTTAACCTGTTTTACTCCCTTCCAACATCAAGGGTGGTGAATACAAAGGGATTGCGGTTCTGGTCTGTCGGCTCCTGAAGCAAGGTAAGTGATTCAAGTTTGTGGACATCTAGTTTGTGGATTGGTAACATCTGACGTCCGACGTCCGGTATCTGGTATCCGAGAGCCTATCCTGGGTAATGTTCCGATTTACTGGGCTGACCCGAAACAGGCATAAATTTTTCTTCTTTCCTCATTGACGTGTAAACTTTTGTAAGGTCGTCACCGTTGGGGACTTTTAAAATTTGTTTTTACTCCTTAAGTTTCCTCTTTTACGRAACGAGTAAAGACTGGTGACAGAAAGAGCGGCCTCCTGTAACGGACSATTAGTGGACGTAACAGGTCGGTATACCAAACGGGAAAAGACCACTAGGAAAACCGAGACGTAGATGGGAGGGTAATATTAGAAGGGARCTGAAAGAAATAGGATACGAAGACCGCAAATGGAAAGATCATCCAATCTGATCCAACCTCAGGGTTGGGAACAATGGCCGGATCTGGTATTTGCGGCAATGAACTTTATATTGTCACAAATAACATAACTTTCATTTAAATTGACATAGTTATTATCCTCAGTTGCATGTTTCCCATTGTTTTTTTCAAAAATTGATATTAGATTTCTAATCAACTACTCCGAAGAAAATTCATATATAAATTTTTCAAAATATTAAACTATATTGTAATTTTTCATAACATATTATAAGTGCGGGACTACAGTACGCCGTCTACATTGCTGGTTTTCTACGAGAGTGTACCATATTTAAAAAAGGAATTTGTTTACGATAAAAAATTGCTATGAGACGATGTAAAATTTAGTGTAATTCAATGAGCTATTGTTATTGTAAAAAGAACATTGTAACGGTGACCATGTTGTTTCATGTTGTATTATATGCAAAATGGATAACATAAAGTTTGTACATTCTATACGAGTGGGATTATATATATATATATATAAATGCAGAAGGCCAACCAACCAATATTAAACAGACAATATATAATTTTTTTTTTTTTATTCAAAATAATGCTTCCTTATCGGGATACATGGGGTGCGTCGACCCGTTTTTATTTAATACTTATTAAATTACATTATACATTTTTACAAATACACATACACACAAATACACATTTATTAACATCTTCTTTCTGCTACTGACTCTTAATACCGCTCTCTCCTTCTACTTAGTTCTTTCATCCGTTCGATTCCCTTTTCTTCCTCTCCCATCAATACTTCTATCCTCTCTTCCGTTTCCGAATAATTATATTCCTTCCTTACATGTATTCCTGTTTCTTTCTCTGTCCCACAAAATCTGCACATAATCTTCTCATTCTCCTTTATCCAATATCTGCTTGCCTTCCATTCATTCCCTAATTTAAACCTTGCCATCATTTTCAGTTTTTGTCCTTTACTTTTTTCTTGCAGGTATTTTGGTAGCCCTTCTGTTATCCACCTTCCATATTCCCTGTTGTATTTCGATTCCTCTATCCTTTTATCCTTTTCCTTACTTTCCTCTTTTATCACTTTATTTCTCCATATCTCCGCCACATTCTGCCCACTGTCATCTCTTGCCTCTGCTTCCCTTCTATTTAGTCCTGCTATTTGATACATTTTCCCCCTCAATCTACCCATTCTCGTTTCCTCCCATTTTTCCTTATCCATTTCTCTCCTGCAGTGTCTTAGTAATTTGTTTTCCGCCCTCCTAATCTTTTCCTCATATTTAATCTCTCTTACCACTGCTTCCACTGCTATCCTTTCCACCTTTGTTTCTTCTCTTATCAAATATCCCGATACACATAAATCCAATCCTAGTATATTCCTCAAGTACCTCTCCTGTATTCTTTCCACCTCTTTTCTCTCCTCTATCCCATAAATTTCCACTGCGTACATTCATATACTCTTCACCATTGCGTTGAACATTATCATTCTCCTTCTGAAGTCTCCACTAAATTTTCTCTCTCCAATGCTCTACATTTATACCATAGCTGCTGCTGCTCTCCTTCTTATGTCTTGCATGTGCGACTCCTCCTTGTTGTTGTATCTGAACATATATCCTAAGTATTTAAATTCGCTAACCTCTTCTATTTCTTTCCCATTATAGAACCATTCTCTTTTCTTTCTGCTCTTTCCCTTACTAAACACCATCACTTTCGTCTTTTCTGTATTTAGTTCCAGATCCTTCCTTTTGAAATATCTCCCCACGCTTTCCATCATTTTTTCTAATTCCTTCTCCGTCTCCGCTATTATCGCCAAATCGTTTACATATGCCAAAGTGTATATCCTTTTCCCTCCTATCGTTATTCCTCCCTCCTGTCTTCTTCCTAAATATTCTTCTATATCTGCAATAAATATAATAAGCAGGAGTAAGGGCTCAGTGGGCAACCTTGCCTCACACTTTTTTTGGTCCAAAACTCTTCTGTTATCTTCTTTCCTACTCTTACCTTGCTCTTTGTTTCTTCGTATATCTTCCCAAAATTGTAAATTACGTCTGTACCCACCGCCTTTTTCTCCAAATAATCCATCAATTTCTTTCTGTTTACCCTGTTAAAGGCTGCCTTCAGATCCACAAACATTACGAAAAGTTTTCCTTTCTCTTCATTTATTGCCTTTTCCACTGCTGTTTTCAAAATATATATATTGTCTATTCCGCTTCTTCCTTTTCTGAATCCTGACTGTGTTTCCGGAATTAATCTAAACCTATCTGCTTTGTACGATCCGAAAGGATCGTACGGTAATTGGCGGTATTCGAAATTCGGGCTCGTCCGCTTCCATCGATTAGGATTCTAGATCGATACTCATTGCGAGCATCGATCAACTACCAGTAACTATCGAAGCGCTTCTCTAGCTACCCCCACCTCTTGCATCCCCACTTCTCAATCCCCTAGTGCATACGCCCTGCTGGGTCAGTACAAAGGGGCATTCTTTCTATTCCACCACCGGACGCCTATGACGATACATCTTTACCATCTAAAGAACATCGAAGCCATATTGGACAAAAGATTTAAGAATTCACAAGGGACAACGAAGAGAATATCTTAATCTTTAAGACTTGTGAAAGTGAGCCCATTCAATGTCACAACCCTTAAGGTTGTGATCGCTATACTTGAGGAGTGCGAGAGGTGAGATCTTTCCATTATATATATTTCACATCGACGGTATTTTTCCGCGTGGTAACATCACGTGGTGCACTCTTATTGTATAATTAAATATCATCCAGGGTTTATATGCCACAAGGCTTTTCCCTGACGAGCCAATAAAGCTTCGCATCTTTTATTGGCTCAATCACGTGTTTTATTTTACATCTTAACCTAACCCATTATTCTCCACTTCATTGCATATATAACATTGCCAGAGGACTCTTAGTTGAGGAATTTAAGCCATAACATGCTTCCTCTCTTAATCTTTTTTCCACTATTGCTGCATATATCTTGTATGCTGTGCACATCAACGTTACTCCTCTATAATTGCTCACTTCTTTTCTATCTCCTTTCTTGAAAATTTGGCATACTATTCCTTCTTTTCATTCCTCTGGCCACCCTTTATCTTTCCATATGTCGTTTATGATTTTTCAAACTTGAGATTTTAGAAAAAAAATAAGTTTTTAATTTTTTTCATATTATTCCACCACTTCAAAAAATTCAAGAAAATTCCTGAGTGTAGAGGAGTATAAAAGACATTTTCTGAAAAATTTTGGTGAGTGACATATTTCAAAAAAGCTAAAAAAAAAAATTTAATTTTCTTTCTGTCAAAAATCGGCTTTTCGTTAAAATATTATGATCATATTTTTTTTCATGTCTTAGAATCCTAAGAACTAGAAAAAAATCATCATTCATTAGTTTTGAATTTTACTATAAAAAAAAATAAAATCGAAAAAACAGGTTTTTTTTGAAAATCTCGAGAACCGTTTGAGTAAAAGAGCTAAAATTTGGGGTGATTTATTTTTATTCGACACCAAATCGATCCCCCAAATGCGAGTCAAAAAAGCCACGGGGGCAGATTTCCCATACTTATCCGGCTATACCCTTTTTCCAATTTTAGTATTTTTTATCTATATTTTTAAAGATTTCTTTTTTTTCCGGACCTAATTACGTGATATAATGTGATACTAATGTAATACTTTTTCTAGATAGGCCGAATTCTTTTTAAATCTTTTTTTAATTTTTAAATTTATTGGTTTAATTTCTCCGGCATCTTTTTTGTTTTTATACTAAAATTAACATAATTAAATAAATATAAATAACGTAAAATGCATTTAATTACCTTAGTTTTATTATATATTATCGAAAATTGTAAATACAAAAATATTGCTGTGCAATATTGGTCCATTTTTTAGGTAAATATAAATACCAATTTATTTAGAATTTCTCTTAGTCGCTTAAATAATTTACAAATACCATATTTTTTAGAATTAGAATAATATACTACAAATAAAATCCCTCTGAAACAATAACGGTGTCGTTTTCGTCAATTGATAACTAGAATAAAACTGCCATTGATTTAGAAGATTGAATTTTAAAAGCAAACAGCATTGCTGGAACTTAGCTGTTGCATAGCGTTATACAAAGAAATGGTCTTTCTTAAAATCGTTCTTCTAGATCATCGACAACTCTGCATTCGCCACACTCTCTCGAGACTTTTGATGTATAATGCCTCTTATATATTTTTACCATAATGTTTAAAGAAATAAACTCTCTACTTTTTTACTAAGTGAACTTATCTGATAAGGGCACAGATCGTCCTAGAAAAACCTGGACTTAGTAATGACATCAAATTATTGATAGTGTGGAGACTGCTGCAGTCATTTCGAATAAAGCGATCCTGTATAGGTTTTTTAGAAATTTATTATCATTATAATAGCGTTTTTAAGAGTTACAGAGTCAATATAAATAAATAAACAAGAAAATGATTTCACTTCTAATCTTGAAGTTCTCTTTGAATTTCTATAAAAGTCTTGCCTTTGGTTTCCGGTGACATATAGTACAACAAAGCCGTATTTACCCAAACGAAAAGACAAAATCCAAGAAACGGAAGACCATGACCGTAATTCAAAGATATTGCTAAAAGAATATAAAGCTTGCCATTAATCATTGCAAGTATACCACTAATGATACCGAGAATACATGAACTAAGTACTTTGACTTCAACTGCGAAAATCTCAGACATCATGATCAACAAGACACTGCAGAATCCAAAGTTACAGAAGAAGATTGTTGAAATAGATGCAATTACTGGTATAACATAATACGAGGATACGTCAACTTTAAAATAATCCTTAGCATAAAAGTAAGAGCTAATCGTTAAATCTAAAAGGCCAGTAATGATACCTGATACGAGAATTATTAGTTTACGACCTAGCCTATCGACAAAAAGACTAGATAGGATAGAGGATAATAGAATCGTAATACCCGCAACTATATTTATTGTGTAATCTGAAATTGCACCTAATATTTCTTTGAAGATCAATTGTCCATAAATAAGTAACGGAAAGTAACTACTTAAATAATTATTGAAGGTTAGGAGAAAAATAATAAAGAAGGCTCGTCGATGTCTTCTGACCGTAAATATGTTCTTCGAGGTGCTCCAAAATCTAATTTTTTTAATTTTCTCTTTCTTTATGAATTCGTCTATCATAGTTAATTCATCTGACACATCTGTCTTACCTCGTAATTTTTGTAACGTTTGCTTAGCCTCCTCCGTTTTTCCTTTCATCGCTAAATAATAAGGCGACTCTGGTAAATACAAAAAAAGAAACAAAAAACAGATCGACAATAAAAGGAAACTAGCAGTTGTGTATCGTATGGAATCATACGGCACTGTTATAAAAGACAATAAGATACCAAGATTGCACATGATGCTTATCATTGTTCCGTTAGCACCTCGCGTTTTTACCGATGATATTTCGCCTAAGTATATTGGTGCAACGAGGAAGCCTAATCCTAGAGAGATTCCAGACAAAAATCTTGCCAGGTACCACATCTGCAACCATTAAGAAAGAAAAAAAATATCATATAATTAGTTACTCTTTCTCATGAGTAATAATTATTTTTACCATTAATAAACACACTAACAATATATGGTACTAAAAACCACATAGAGCCCTGCATATTATTCGAAGTTTAGTAATATTAGATAGAAGGTGCAGAAAGGTTTTCTTACACAATGTATTCTAATTATTTGTAAATGTTAATATCTACATAATAAATGATAAAAATTATATGTTTCTGAAGTCACTAAACTCGTATTTAATATGCCTTACAAGAATGTTAAAAAAAATAAAAGGTATATTTAAATAAAACATCGAAAGCCTTTAAATTGCTTAAAGAAATGATCTTCATGAAACATTTTCTGTCCATTAGGTTTACTCTCTCAATAATACTTATTTTTCTCACATATATTTGTCATACAATTGTAAGAAAAAGATATACTTAGTTGATCTCATTTAGTTGATTTTAAAATTCCTTGTAAAATTATCTCTAAATATCACGATTGAAACCTAAAACTTTACACTTTATGTTAATAATGTTTTTGCTTAAAACCATTAAATCAGTTATAGCATATTTTTTAGTTTTATTCTTACAAAAATACCGTACTAAGGCATAATAAGTACACTGATCGAAATTATTTGTGTGTCACCCACGTTCAGACAATTATTTCCTATAAATCTTTAGATGCCTACAACACTTATTTAAATATTTTTGAATTATGTTCATTCTACTTAAGATTTCAGTGTTTAATATTCAACCTTGATTAAATGATGATATTAAAGGTTCAATTACATAGAACATTCCAAATATTTGCTTGTATCATTTTTTTTGGTAATGTACTTCTTAGATATGCTAATTTTTCGTACGCTAATCTTCCAAATTAGAAATGGGCATAATACCCATATTCAGTTTTTGTTATAAAATGCAGTTAATTTATCTTTGATTGTTCATATAAGCTAAATTCTTTTTAATATTATTTCTTGCATATTTGCTTTGTTTCTAAAACAATTTTTACAATTAATGAATTTGTAAAGAAACATTTTAAAAGATCTCTGCTTTCCATATAACAAAAAAGAATATTTATGCTTGTAATGATATATCCTGTAGAAACAGTTATTTTTTATAAAAGTTAATTTCTTTAAGTAAAATTCTAATAGGTAATTTTTTCGTAACTGCGCGATAGTGTTAATTGACTTAAATGAGTATAGGCATATATGAAAATGAAATGTATGATATTTTACTATTATCTTTACTTCCTAGCAAATAAAAATGAAAAACTTACGAATACGTTCGTTGTCATTAAAATTATACTCCAACTGGCGATTAGTGGGAGACTGCACAATAAAATCGTATATTTTCTTCCAATTTTGTCAGTTAGTAACAAATTTATCGGTGGTGATAGCATTTGACCAATTGATAAAGAAGCCGTTAAAGTTGAAATATCCAATTTAATATCATAAATTGACGAATCAGATGATAATATCAACACGACCATTGGTGAATTCCATCCTATCACTATGCCCATCGATAATATTAAAAGTGTGCCTGAAAATATTTTCGAATTACCACGAGTTCACATTTCTTCTTCTATAATTTCAACGAAAATAATTTTATGAGAAAACTTACATGCGAAGATAGAGTAGTATTCCCACTTTTTTGAACCATGTAGTGATAAGTACTTGCCTTTATTTCCGTCCCTATTCATTTCTAATTTTCAAGAATCAAAACTTCTTCTTCCTCACTGAAGATAAATAATAAAGAGACGGGATTTGTTAACACCGTTTTATAATTTGTTTCTCTATTCTGAATCGTCAAACTATTTTCGAAACTATTTTATTTCAGTGATTTCGACGAGTTACCTGAAAAATGCGATTAGTGTTAGAATTATATTATTTTAGCGATAAACAATTTAAATCTAACAAGGAAACCACAGTTACACATAGATAACATTTTTTTCAAACTTAGCCAACTCAACAGGGAAATTAATTATTAAATGTATAAATGTATTATGTATTTATTGAATGTATTTTTGGGTGCTAATTAAATTATAAAGCTAAAAATTCTATTATGATTTACTCCTCGTATTCTCAGCTAGCTTAACTAATACTTGAGACGATTATAAGACAGACAGAATTAAATGACTTAAAAATTTATATCTTGCAAAAATCAAAAAAGATCATCATTATATTATTTCCTTAGGTAAAAAATAAAAGTTAATTAGATGTAACTTACGTGCGTTTATTCGAATCTCGAGTGCTAATCTATTTTATTGCCGAACGATTTTCTTATTATAAATAGCTAAATTATGTAAACTGTGATTAAAAATAAAAATTATTCGAGATTTATTCAAGATTATCCGATATAAATTTTGTAGAGTATTTACGAGACTTCAAGAGCTGATTTTTCCTGCTCTAAGATGGTCAGTGAATAAATCGACCTTTTCACATTATATGACAGTCTACTAAAGACTATCTTATAAAATCCGTAATTTGGGTTGTCACATTACTCAACTTTTCCTTTAAGGTCGTCGTTTACTTGCCTATCATTGTCGGTTGTAAACTTTATGTCGTCGAAATCAGTTTGGCGTATAAATTGTGTAATGTTATCTATGAATAAGAAATATTACATTTAATCTCTATATTAGCATTGATATATTTCATACATACTTTAAAAATTAATTATTTTATTTTTTACAAAGAAATAAAAAACCATGTGTGCAGATCACACGTGTTAGAAGAAAGACCTACAAAAATTTAAGTTTCCAGAGAATAAGACGAATGCACAGTTTCAAGAGTAAGATAATTGTAGGATTTATTTATTACAATATTATAACGATATATAATGAAGGTCACTGGTATATTCTTTGGGTTTAATAGCTGATAAAAAGTACACTTTTTCAAATTCAAACAATTAAAATGGAATGCTGAATGTGATAGCCATAAATAGAAACAAAAATTGTAGAATGTTTATCGACAGAAAGATACGCTGTCCTAACCCAAATAAATATAATATTATATTTTTTTTAAACTTAGAAGGATGAATTTTTTCTTTCGCACTTTTCACCCTTCCTTTGAATTTAAGATTTCTTTATCATGGGTTAGCATACACAATTATTTCTTTTTGTGTTGCAACTAATAACTGTAGATGCTGTTAAAGAAGGGAACAATTGTGGTAGTATCTTTTTCGTTTCATTGGGTTTTGAATTACAACGATTTTAAAATCTATTATTATTTTCGTTGTTTTATTTTATATTATTAAAAATCTTTTTAAAAATTTTTTTTCTAAATTTTTTTCTATATTTTTAAAATTAGTTATTTTACTGTTTTTTTATTAGATATATAATAGCGAATAATATTTGTTTTTGTCACGTGTCCAGTTTCTTCTATTTAAAAGCTTTTCTATTTTATTGAAAAATTAGTATAAATTTTCTAAATACGCAAACATTATAATTAAAAAACACGTCTTTTGATATTTATAAGAAAAGTATTCTACAATGTTGGTTAATTTTTTTTCCTCTGATTTATCTGATAATCATTTCATTTTTTTGTAAAATATTGCAGACAATACAATTATTATATTCTATTTATTTTGTAATTGTTAATAACTATATTAGGGAAATAAATAATTAATTATTAATTTCATAATAAAATATAAACATTTTTAAATAGAAAAGAAATGACACGTTTGGTAAAAAAAACAGACCACGCACCTTTTCTCTTTATTTCGACCGTCGGTTAGTTTGTTCCTTAGTCTTTTGTCGCCTACCTACGAGCTTATCTCTGCGTATTCTTCTACCCTTCTATCGCTCCTACCTACAAACATTTGGAGTATCGAAATAATATGTGTCCACGCTTTGTAGTATGCAGTCGCACACAAACACAGACATATTTAGCCAGGAGTGATAACTACGAAGCATAGCATAAAGAGGAGACCGAGAATAGGAAAAACTGTATAGCTATATTCCGTCTCATTCTCTCGCAGGCTTAATCCTATATGTTTGTTTCTTTTTCTCTCGTTTTTTAGTATAACTGCCGTTTCATAGCTTCGTTACATAGCTCCGTTTCCCTTTATTTACTTTTTAAATCACTCCCATTCTAAATAAGTTTTTACTTCAAAAACATCACGTTTCTTGACGTCATCGAGCTAGTCATACTTCTCTGAGAGGAGGACCAGGAAATTTATGTCAATAAACTATATTTACTGTATTAATCGTTATCTTTTGTGCCGTCTTTATTATAATATTTGTTACTATTTACAATAAAATAAATTATTTCCACTTACAAAGATAGGCGAATAATGTGCAACTCTTAAGGACAAGTTGAGTTCACAAATTTGATAAGACAGTCTTATAACGTATAAAGAGTACACTGAAATTTATGTTGTTCGTAAAATATCAATAAAGAAAGAATATTTCTTAGTAGACTGTCATAATGTGTAAAGTATTTGTAAGTTTTGTAATGAAGTAAAGATAGTTTACAATATTTTCAGTCATATGTTCATACTTATATCAGTCACCAAAGCTTTATCACCATTCCGATTGCAAGTCTATAATGAAAGGAGAGCCCTATAGTATTTTTTTAGACTTTTATGAAACTTTATCAATTTATATGAGTTTCATTAGGGCTACAAATCCTACATACAGGATTAACATCAAAAACTCCCTAGGTACAACCGCGTTTTTGAGAAAAATTAGGGTTAAACTTTCATTAGTATTTTTGAAGTGAAAACTTCTTTAGAATGGAGTGATCTGAAAAGTAAATAAACGGAAACGCAGCTATGTAACGGCTGCTATACTAAATAACGAGAAAAAGAGAGACAAACAGATAGGATTGAGCCTGCGAGAGATAGACGGAGTATGGCTATACAGTTTTTCTTATTCTCGGTCTCCTCTTTATGCTATGTATCGTAGTTATCGCTCCTGGTTGTATATGTGTGCGATTGTGTGCGACTGCATACTACAAAGCGTGGACACGTATTTTTTCGATACTCGAAATGTTTGTAGTTAGAAGCGATAGAAGGGTAGGACGAATAAACAGAGATAAGCACGTAGGTATGCGACAAAAGCATAAGGTCCAAACGAACCGACGGTCGAAATAAAGAAAGAATGTGCATGGTCTGTT